AAGCTCGGTAAGCCCCACAAATGAAGACGGCCTACACCTATACACCACCTTTCAATACACACCCGAGATCGCCCTCCTAAACACCGGAGAGCCCAAGGATTACTGGTACTACTGCCTCAGTGTGAAAGAACTCAACCACAGAGTGAACATGGCCCGAAGAAACTACAGAAAACATGACCGATCGCCCAGGCGGCTAACGAGTTGATCATTTGGTGAAGAGGGTAAAAGAAAAGGAAAGGTAACACAGACGTGACCGATCGCCCAAGCGGCTAACAAGCCGCTCAGTGGGGAAGAGGATAAAAGTAAACAGTAAATAGTGCAGTTTCTTCACCACGTTGGGACATATGATACGCCTCCTTACCGTTGGTACACCCCAGGATGCAGCCTCTTATACTTCGTGACATTGAATCTCAGCAGCCACTTCCTTGACCATTCTTGGAGCCCACAGATATCCTTTTGTAGCTCTTCATAGTCCGCTTGGTTCTCGATTCCCGAAATAACTTGGCGCCATCGGCAAACATTTGTATGGGGGAGTGTACAACGTCAGGCATGTCATTTATGGAACAAACAAACAACAGTGGGCCCATAGACCTAGTGACAGCACACAATAGAAAAATATCAAATTTTCAATTTCCTCTCTCACTGCATCATATTTAACAATTACATTGTTTATGTCACTCATAGATACCTCAGTAGAGTCATTCCCATCACAAATTACACGATCTTCTACCATCTTAGGTTCTGGAACCACACAGTACCCTGGTAGTGTACAGACCACAATCATACATGTTACTTAACGTAACATCAGATGATTCATATTATGCTTAATAGCTCATAAACATGTAGCTATAACCTATTCATGAGTCCCACTACGGAGATGTCTGTTTTCTCGCTGCTTCAGTGCTCAAGTAAGTCCTTGTGTTAGAGTTTGCTATAGAGGCGAGAATCATATTCCCTGCCCTGTGAGGCAGACCAGCTTTCCATTCGCCACTTAAGTCAGATTGTTTTACTTCCCAATCATCAGAGAATCTGATGACTCCATTGAAATTATTGTCAGTTTTGTATTTACAAATGTTATCAATCATTTGAAATCTAACGGTGAGAGAAGAAACCCCTTTTGTCACTTTTTTATGCTGTTTGAAATACGATTGCCAGCCTGTTTGCTTGACATCAATTTGTTTATTCCATTGCAAGCTCAAACACTGATTAGATTGTAAGCAATAGCTTTAAGAAATTAATCTGACCCATGACACTGATTTTCATAGTTCAATGTATACTGCAACTGAGTTAAATGAATACTGTATGTACGTAAATTCATGAGGTGACATCCCGACGCTATTTGAGTTGCCATAGGGTATGAATATCCCTAGTGCCTCACACCCGCCATATTAAGTGAATTTAACTCAGTTGAACTTTGTTGAATATACCAGTGTTCATGTTTTAACGTAGTTGAGCATCTTATGTGCCCAAGTGATAAAAAGACATATCTAGACATCTTCTGTATTGAATAAACCGTGTGTTCCCCTGCCAGACGTGTGTTATATTTTGTTTTAGATTTTACACTTCTCTTGACTCATTTCCATTGTCTAACAGGCACTGTGTGTATTGCCGCTACCAAGTATTGGTAGTTACCTGTAGGCAAGATGTCCGAGGCAGGATGTCTTTTATACAATGAAATTAAAATCCAAAGGAGTGATGAACCCAGGGAACCAGTCAAGGGAGAGCTGGCTTTCTAGCACCGCTCTCTAGCGTGTAGCCGAGGCCGCAACCAAGAGGCAGTGGTGTTAACCAACGGTGTAAGCCTGGTGTGGTAACCCTAATTGTATGCGCTACTACAGTAGTTCTTGTGTACATTATTGTGGATGATTATTAGCAATTTAATTGTCCCAGATTGAGTAGTAAAACCATAAATATTAATATCATCAGCATTAGAGTTTGTTATATGGTGTGAGTGGACCGCTATACTCCCAGCTAAGGTGCTGGTATATATTTACAGCTCCTCCCCGACTTACGATGGTGTTAGGGACCCAAATCCAGGTCGTAAGTCGAAATGGTCGTAAGTCGGAAATGCTTAAATAATATAGAAAATCTAAAATGGGTGTCCCTTTTTCTTCTCAGCACCACAAAACTCTCACTTTTATGCTTGCCAGCCATTTTCAAGTGAATTCCAAACGAAAATTTTGTCTGTGTACTGACTTTGGGACTCAAAATACATAATTTGACCAAATTTTGGTACGACTGAGGCAGGTCATCAGTGCAGGTGGTCGAGTTGAGTAGGTCGTAAGTCGGGGAGGAGCTGTACAGTGGTCCCTCGGTTAATTATCGCAATTCGTTCCAGAAGGTTGCTCGTTAACCGAAACCATTGTTTCAATGGGTTTTTGGGTAATTTGTTCCAGCTCACCGAAAATTGCCTAAAATCAACAAAAAAGGTAGTAAAGTACACTTACTTTGAGGTGTGTATGTAGAAAGCTCCTGGATGATGATGATGATGATGGGAATTAGAATGGGGGTGGAGGAGAAGGGAGAAGAGAAGGCATTGGGGTGGAAGAGAAGTCACCCCATGGTGCCATTTCACCCGTAAAATTTTAGTTCTCTTGGTGTAATTCAAGATAATTTTCTTTAAATCAACACTGCACTGCATTATATATTGTCTATATGTAAAATAAATTTCAAAATGACCAATAATTTGCTTGGAAACAGAAAAAAAGCGTTTAATTGAAGAGAGTCTCAAGCAAGATGTTACCTCCACTGAAAAGACACAGAGACTGACGCCAAGCTTGGTGTGTCGAGTGGCTGTTTGGCGCGCATAAAACTAGTTTCCTGTACTTCAATTATGTTCAATAATTGTTAAATGACTAAAAAATTAATATTAAACTTTTAAAATTATTGAATAGTATAAACTTCTTGATGTTTACTAAAATAGTAAGGAATTTAAGCCCTAGAACCGATTACTGTATTGGTGGACTAATACGTACTACAGCTGGTGGACCGCCAAATGCAAGCGAAAACATGTTGAGGTCCGCTCATATGAAACTCGTTAATCGAGGGATTGCTCGTTAACCGAAGTTAAGAATCTTATGGAAGGTAAATCGTTAACCGAAATCTAGTTAACCAAGGCGCTCGTTAACCGAAATCTAGTTAACCAAGGCGCTCGTTAACCGAGGGATCACTGTACTTGTAATAGCAATGTAGTGGATACTCTCCCCTACAACTGCCAATGCCGTTTGTCGCTGACCAGCCGATCCCTTTTAGAGTTTCCTAGCCAAAGCCTTGTGGTCTGACAGCGGGGTCGGCTATCAGCGACGTTTACTTCCGGCAGACCTCCTATATAAGCTCCCAGCCTCGCTGTGAAATCCCTTCTACCTAGAGCCCCACAACACGCAACACCTCCTCTAAAGAAGCTCCTGCACAGCAACTCCTCTACCACACAGCAACTTCCCAGCACCAGACTGCACTGTACATACAATATATTTATATAAGAAAACCGCCATAAAGAGTTTCCTTTCTCAAACCCATCCTGAGTGCAAGACATCATAACCCTAACACAACAGCATGTTGCTCTAAGTAAAACCATTATTCTTTGTTATTGACAAGTGTGTAGAGTGACCATCAATTTTGTCATTGATGTATAATAATACCCAGAAGGAGGTATAAGTATTGAATGTAACTGATAATTGAAGATATATTTTTGGTACTTATAAAGTACGACCTATTGGTCAGTTTTGTCTAAGTGTTACAGCAACGTACTCAGTAATTGAACCAAATTTTTGTTGTTGTGAGGAAAGGTTTAGATTGTCACAATGTTCAGATTATTTTGATTCAGTAGACTGTGGGTATCACCACTCCATCCTTCTAACAATTGGCATCTCAGAAAATACCATAAAGATTTATGTGCCTAACCTCTCGTGTCTACATTACCCCTTGTTAATTGTAGAAGATATATTCTAAAGAAAAACTTTGGCTGTGTGAGGAAAGAAGGATGTATTATAACGGGTTATTCTAGTGTGACTGACATCCACAGAGATACTGTGGGCACCGCAGGCAAGACGAGTGTTACGAGCCCACGGCCTTGCCGGCGGTACACAGGATGCCAAATCCACCGTAACTGTAAAAGAGAGTGTGAAGCAACATTGCGGTGAAGAGAAAAGGAAGAAAGATTATCAACCAAAGGAGAGTCAATAAGAAGAAATGCCTTTGATTCCACCCTATCTAACAGTTGGACAGAAATAGAGCCACCCCCAGATATGAGAGCAGTACTCCAAGTTAGGACTAATGAATCCCTTATAAACTTGAAGCAGCTGCTCAGGAGTGAAGTAGCTATGGCATCTGTACAGCATTCACAGCTTTTGGGAGGCAGCTTTAGCAATGTTGTGGATGAGTGGCTTCCATGACATTTTAGAGGAAATGGTGAGGCTTAGCATATCTACTTTAGAATTGCCAGAATGATTGCATCCTGAAATGTGATTGGTGGGAGATCATCTAATTTGGAAAGTGTAATTGGTAAATATACTGAGTTTTGTTACTATTGAATTTAACCAAGTTTGTACCTCCCCATTCGGAGATGCTGCACAGATCCGCATTGATAGATGAAATGACATCAGCTCTAGAAACAGATCTAGTGTGAGAATTAGGGGGAGGGGAAAAATGTGAAGAAAAGTGAAGAATAGAATCATCAGCGTAAGAATGGATAGAATTAGTCGTAGTGTGAAGCAAATCATTGATAAAGAGGAGAAAGAGAGTAGATGAAAGAACAGAACCCTTCAATATTTACTGTCCTCCAAAACTCAAAAGAGCTCTTCAAGCTAAACCGATTCACAGAAAAAAAAATATTATTTCTAGGGTCATACTAATCGTACATAACATTCCTGCTATATTATTTCTTACAGCAATAAAATTACCTGCTTGAATCTGGTTTCCAAAAACATAAATTCAAGGCAATGCTGATTTTTTATACAGTACAGTATACCCTGTAATGTAGTTATCAAAATAAAAAAATAAAATTCTGAATGGAAGTTTAATTTTACAATCATTATATACACAATTTTACAGTCATAGCCACCTCTGCATGTATAAGACAAGAATGTGGTGCTGAAGTCACTCACATCTTTTAATTCAATCTTGGAAATGTAAGGTAATTAATTTACAAAGTATAACTGGTGGTGGTTCAGTCTTTGGCATGGAAGTGACAAGGAATTTTTTTTTTTACAAGGTGTGTAACCATCAGTAAATGTTGCAAAAAATTATATACAGTACAAATATACTTAATAACAAAAACAAAATTAAAATACATTAATGTAACAATGGCTGTATCCATTGTCAGTAGATCTGTGGTTATCCTTCACCAAGATATTGTAAGTCTTCATCATTCTGTTGGAGGATAATATTAATCTTACTTTAACATTACGCTACACAATCATGGAATATTATGAGACATTTCAAGATTATATTTGATACAATATGTGGAAATATCATATGAAAGCCAGTGTCAAATAATGCACTAGTATGAAAGATTATTCCAGAAGTTTTATCTCATACAAAAACATGAGCTCCATGTCAATCTTCATGCGAGGTTAAATATATACATTTATCACATTGAAAATAAGTAATTTTTGGCCTTTTACACATAAATTATTTACACATTATTTACATATACGGGTATTTAAAACATGATCTAAGTAGTTCAATGCTTGACATCATGGACGACATCATGGTCCACATCACTAACACCGCTGTTTATGGGATCCTATTTTATTTCCTTCATGTTCAATGGTTAAAGCTAATGCTGCAGTTATAGTGTATCAGTTCTTTCACACATTTTTATAGTCTGAAAAATGTAAGAAATTTCATGAACCTTGCCTTTTATATTACGTATAGTATTTTCAGTCTAGTACAGTATCTAGTATGGGAATGTTGCAGAACTGTCTTTTAATAAAAAAGTGTCTATATTTCACACTGAATTTTCAACTGGTTCCATATTTTCCCCAACAAGTGATACCATAATGATTTCAGTTTCTTGCAAGGTAAGACACACTTCACAAATCACCAGTAGTCCCATGTATCTAAACAAAGGATATATGCCGACGCTTTTTAACACTACGAACTGTGCCATGCGGAAGTGTTGCTGTTGCTCGGGAGATAGTGTGACATGTTGGGTAGTCAACTGGACCACCACCAGCCATAGCGGACCGGTATTCCGGTGGTGGTGGAAGATAACGGAATGACGAAAAGTGAGTAGGCAGATACCTACGAGGTCCTGGCCCTGCTAATGTCCTTGGTCTAAACCCTCCTTCTTCATCACTGCTATAACCATTATTAAGGGCAGGACCAGAATGAATAGATATAACAGTAGGACCTGGAATTCCCAGTGGTTGTTGTAATAGTTGTGAAGGAGGTGGTGGTAGTGGCAGGTCACTATCAGTTGGTTTAACAGTGATTGGAATTGCTCGAGCAGTATCTAAAATTGGAGGAGGTGGGGGCGGTACAGTATCTGTTGTCGCAGTGGAGGCTGCTGAAGCTCCTCCATCGGTCGTTGAGTTGCTGGTAGTCTCCGATAAGTCTCGATATTTCATATCTTCATTTGTTGGGTCATCTGAAGGTTTAGAGGAAGAAGTTGAGGAAGAAGATGCACAGGCCTCCCGCATGATGGACCCATTAGTTAATACTCCAAAACGAACTGGACTGGAATATTTCATAGAGGCCCTGGGGCGGCACTCCACAAGAGGGGCTTCTGTAGAGGTGACAGGAGCCTCCACATGCTCTGCTCCATAGACATCAGATGATCCAAATTTTGACAGAGAGTTGACCCATTCCTGCACCTGCATATTAATTAAAAAAAAAAAAAATTATATATATACAGTAGTACCCCGATTTACGCGGTCAATTGAACCCACAGGGTACCGCGTTAAGTGAAATCCGCGTAAATGGAACAACAGAACATATGGGATTAATTCCAATAGAGACTGGCCCGACCCCCAAACTCTACTGTTTCCGACACAATACCTATGTTCTAGTAAAAATAACATCTTAATTTTATGATGGTACATGCACACAATTAATACTTAAGAGAAATAGAGAAATACAGTCGCCAAGTTAATGTCCATTCAAATAATGGACTCAACTCCCTCCTCCTCTTCTCACACTACACTGCTGGCTCTTCCCTCTCTGAGAAATTTTTGGGGGAAAACCACTAGATTTTAATAAATAATACCTCAAACTAAAGTTAGGATAATATAATTGACATTGCTGGATTCCTTGTAAGACCAGGAATATTTTGAATATAAATGTCTTATATTTTGCACAAAAGATAACATATTTACTCAGAGTAAACATTACATCTAAAATTTGTATGTCTAATGCAAAATCTATGATGTTTATATTCAAAATGATCATCAAATTATAAGAATTCCAGCAATGTAAATTATATTCTGGGGAGGTAATTTGTATGAATTTTATGAGCTAAAACAAATATCTTCAGTTAATAAAAAAAATATTCTTCACACCGTGCCAGATGGTCGGTCGGTCCCTCCTCCCCCACCCCCACCAACCCTCCCTACCAGATGTGTGGGAAAACCAGAATATTTACCTTTTAGTAATAAATAATACCTCAAACTAAAGTTAGGATAATATAATTGACATTGCTGGATTCCTTGTAAGATAGGAATATTTTGAATATAAATGTCATATATTTTGCACAAAAGATAACATATTTACTTAGAGTAAACATTATATCTAAAATTTGTGTCTAATGCAAAATCTATGATGTTTATATTCAAAATGATCATCATATTATAAAATTCCAGCAAGGTAAATTATATTCTGCTGAGTAATTTGTATGAATTTTATGAGCTAAATAAAAAAAAAATAATATTATACTTCACAGCATTATGAGTAGATGAACGCGTTAAGTGAAAGTTAGCTTCTGGCGAGGCACCGCATATATGAAATCGTGTTAAGTGAAACCCGTAAGCGGGTAATACTGTGTGTGTTGTATATACAGTATATATATATATATATATATATATATATATATATATATATATATATATATATATATATATATATATATATATATATATATATATATGTATAATAATAATTAACGGTTTTATTGAAAAGTTCTGCAGTTCTGTATGTATGTATGTATGTATGTATGTATGTATGGATGTATGTATGTATGTATGTGTATGTATGTATGTATATATATATATATATATATATATATATATATATATATATATATATATATATATATGCAAAGTAAATCACTGTAGGTGCCGTGATCTAGGTATATGCTTGTATACAGGGTCCCCGACTTACGAACGCCTGCCAATATGAAAGCGGTTAAACTTGAAATTTACAGTAAAGTATTTTATTTACCTGATAACTTATTTTTTACTTTCATTTACTGTATTTTGTGATTCTATTTCTTCCTTTGTCTCAAATTAAGTGATTTAAGATGTATATAAGGACTTAGGCTATGATATACAGTAGTGGGATTTTAAACATTGTTCTGAATGTATGGTATGCATATAGTATGTGTTCTGACTTACGTACAAATCCGACATAAGAACGTCCCCAGGAACGGAACCTGTTCATAACCCGGGGACCCCATGTACTGTATATATGCACCGCAGAGTGCAGTAATTAGAGAAAAAGCCTCATAGTTGTAGGATCAGGTGCTTGAAGTAAACAAAGTATTTAACAATATGGGAATGACAGGATGTGTTTAATTATAGTGAGAGAGAGATAGGCATGAGATAATGGCTTTTTGAGAGAGATATTCAAAAGAAAAGGCTTGTGCACATGCAACTACATATTACATCCTGAGGGACAAAACAATGCCGCTGTCTTCATATTGCATAATACAGTATGTACTGGACTGTACTGTACTGCACTGTACTGAACTTCATAAGAAATTTTAGAAATTTACCTTAAGGCCTCACTTGATAGTTTCCCCTAAGGAGTATAAAATAACACCAATTTACAAATATGAATAGGGCTACTGGTATACCTGTATTGTACTGAGGATTTTTGAGGTCAACCAAGTTTTTTTTTTGTAATTTAAGTTTTCCAAATACAGTACAGCACAGTACTGTATATCCCTCTAGATATCACTATCTTCATTCTTGAAAATTATAGAAAAATTCATCATCCAATGTTTAATATATGACCTATCACTCCTATTATGACTACCCTTTTTTGCACTTTACTCCCACTACTTTTCAGTTAATTTTGAACAGTTCAAAACTCGAAACAATTAGGTATCATTTGAATCAGTTTCATAAAAAGGAACATCATTGACACAATACGTACTCGAGACAGGCTTCATAACAGTTAGACAAAGTGTGTCTGTACAGACGTTTTATAAAAAATATGCGAGTCAACTGGGCAAATTTTAATAACACTGATAATATTACAATATATATATGGTGACATTATCAAAAATGGAATGCCATACTGCTAGAAGACTGTTTGATAGCTTTATGGGCTCGAAAACTGTAAGACACCCGTATTCTTACCTATGGTCGGCTATGCATTTTGGTGATCTGTCTGTATAATATCTGCAAGTATGTCAAAGAAATCTGATGGAATGTCAATTTATAATGATACGGTGTCAAAGGTTATGATGCAGTGGTATAATGCAAATTATTGTCTATACAGTATTCCCTTAGAGCTCGAGCGGTTTTAAAGCTTACGTCCTTTGGAAACACACGGATTGCCATGGAAAATAAATAAAATAAGTCTGAGGCTGAGAGCCAGGGATCAAGAGGAGTCAACACTACAGGACAGTACAAAGCACCATATTTCCCAGGTCATAAGATGCACCCTATAATTATTGAGGTATATTTGGGAGAATTTTTTTTTTTGCAGATTTAATAGCCTCCTCTGAGCACCCTCACCAACCAGCTCTCTCTACATCACGCTTGTAACCACGCTGCCACTTCCCAGCACCAAGCTGCACTGTACATCCAATACAATATGTATACAGAGAGCACATTGTGAGTTTCCTTTCTCCATCCCATCCCGAGTGTGAACCAAATATCACGTACCCCACATGCTTTCTCATAGGGTCCATATTACCTAACCCCAGCGAGCTCTAAGGGAATATTGTATGTTATGAATTTCAGTGGGAGTAAAGTGCAAAAAGAGGTATTACTATGAATAAAAAACCCTGTTCCTGTACTTCTCCCGAGATTCTGCCCCAAGAACCAAAAATATGTATTAAAAGCTGGCAATACTGTAGCTTCCTTCTCCCCAAAGGCTATCTTAAAGTAGAAGATTCAACATTCATAAACAAAGCTTCAACCAACATTAAATTCATTATGAATGAATCATTTCAAATCTTACCATCTATCTTTATCATCATTATCATCTATGACTCTCTATCTTACAAAGAAGTAGGTGATATCTCTGTTAGTCGGAACAATTGGTGTAGGGCACTTCCGGGAATGAAAGATTTCCGGGTAACGAGATAACTCTCCCAAAACCGGAAAAATCCCTCATCCCCGGAATTTTTCAGGGTACCAGGAAAAGTTTCTCAGAATTTTCCAGCAAATAAGCCCCCACAAAATCGTTCCGAAACCCGGAATTTTCTGGACTGGAAAATTCTGAGAACATTTCAATTCCAGCTATCGAAGAGTTCCGGCTTAGAGGGATTCCAGCCAGTGGAGATATTACTAAGGGGGGAGGGGGTACTGATAAAAAAACAAACATTGTCCTCACCTGGCTGGGTTCCTTGTCATCCACTAGTTTACCATTACTGACCACCTTAATTTCACCATCTTCCTCCTGTATATAGGCATTGTTGACATAAATCTTGTACACTGGGCGGTCAGGGTCCTTTTCTCCATTGTCTTGGTTTCTCCTGCAGCAGCAAATACACACAAGCACTATAATAACTGCCAGAATGATGCCACCCACCCCAACACCCACAGCCACCCACACTCTCCAGTCATATGTGGTATTCTTAGAGTGATCCCTGGATGTCGCATTTCCAAGATTCTTAGCATCCTGTGGGTTGGGAGATGTGATAGTAGACATAATGACAGTCTGCATGTTGGAAGGTGGCTCACTTGCAGGCGTTGTAGGCAGCGGCGTGGTGGGAGGGTCAGGTACAAAGGCAGAGACAATGTTTGAGATGCTGCCTGTGTTGTTGGACGAGTCTACTGCTCGAATGGCGAAGTACCTGAGGATAAAGGTGAAACTGTTAACGGTGGCTAATGAGAAAGTTGTTGATAAAATAAGTGAAAGGTGATCTATAAAACATACAATGCTGGGTTTGCTGGGGTCTTTCCTGTTTGATGACCTGCAAAATTGTTTAATAAAACATATTAATCTGATATACTTTTATGGTCTGATTTAAAAAATATATATGTATTTTCCTGGAAACAATAGTATAAAGTGAAATTATATTGGCCTCAGCATATACCTGAAATACATAAGGCTAGGCTAAGTTAGGTTAGGTTAGACGAGGTTACACTATACAGGTCTACATTGTTTAAAATATAAAATGCTAGGCTAGATTAGATTAGGTGAAGTTGCCAATTATTAAAATGGTTAACTCAAGTTAGGTTAGATTAGTATACCTTTCTTGAGACTGTTAGGTTTTTTGTGCCTTTGCAAATTTACTTTCTCTCCTATTTCTGACTGAAACACTTTAAGGAAAGCCCAAGCGTATTGACCAAAGCTATGGTTTATAACCACTGTTCCACGTTTGATTCCGTTTAACAGCTAACCTTCATTTATTAAAAGCCTACTAATATTTTTTTGGTTTAAAATTGTTGGTACTTTCTACTAATTCTCCTCAAATATACAGTACCTCTGATTTACGTGGTTTCACTTACGCGATTCTACATTTCATTTTAAATTTACAGGTACCTGTGCTCAGAACCGGAATTTCATTTACGTGCATCTCCTCTATACTGGTGAAGTATAATTTTTTATTTAGCTCATAAAATTCATACAAATTACTGGATCAGAATATAATTTACATTGGTGGAATTCTTACAATATGATGATCATTTTGAATATAAACATCATGGATTTGCATTAGACATACAAATTTTAGATCTAATGTAATAATTTTTTATACAAAGCAAATATTTTATGTTTTGTGCAAAATATATGAAGTTTACATTCAAAAATATTCCTGACCTGCAAGGAATCCAGAAATGTCAATTATTATATTATCCTAACACTTAGTCTGAGTTATTATTTATTACTAAAAATGTAAATATACTGTTTTCTCCCAAACATTTCTCTGGTAGGAGGGAAGGTGGGGGTAGGTAGGGAGGAGGGAGGGAGGGTGACAGACCCAGCTAGGGCGGTGGTGGGGTATTTTGATTGACAGATAGTGTTGGTGAAGAATAATTTTGTTTATTTACTGAAGATATTTGTTTTAGCTCATAAATTTATACGAATTGGTTCCACAGAATATAATTTACATTGCTGGAATTTACAATATGATGATCATTTTGGAATATAAACATCATGGATTTTGCATTAGACATAAAATTTTTAGATCTACGTAATAATTTGGTTTATACAAGCAAATATTTTATCTTTTCTGCAAAATATATGAAGTTTTCATTCAAAATATTCCCGACCTGCAAGGAATCCAGAAATGTCAATTATATTATCCTAACTTTTAGTCTGAGGTATTATTTATTACTATACCTTAAAATCTAATGTTTTCACCCAAACATTTCTCAGAGAGGTAGGAGCCAATGAGCTGGGAAGGGGGAGTTGAGTCCATTAGTTGAATGGACATTAACCTGGCTACTGTATTTCTCTTAAATATTAATTGTGTGTGCATATCATCATAAAATTAAGATGTTATTTTACTACAACATAGGAATTGTGTCGGAAAAAGTGGAGTTTAGGGGTCAGCCCGGTCTCTATTTCAATTAATCCCATATGTTATGTTGTTCACTTTACACGGGCCTCCATGGGTTCAATTGACCGAGTAAAGCGAGGGTTCACTTTTGTATATACAATATTAGGAATTCAGAATATGGCATAACTTCGTAAAGGGAAGATAACATAGACAGCAGTAAGGCTGGATATACTGAGGGTCACATTGAAACAAGAAATAACAATTATTTGTTGTCAATAAACGAATCTCCCGCATTTTAAAGTTGCACTCAGTAATTTTGACAATTCCAAGATACTTTTCTTCAATGGTATTTCTGGCGCAAAATACATATAAGCGAGGTATTTGCTTAAAAAATGAACAATGTATTAATTAAATGACAAATCAACTACAACGAGGGCTGCCACAAGATTCTCAGACCAAATTTTCTTCATTACTGAAGCAAATATAAGAACATTTGGAAACTTCTCATGATCTTAAATAACAATGAAAAGAGATTATTATTAAAAATTCTACCTTTGGATTGTTTAATATTTATCTTGACATTGATACAGCTGATTACAATCACCTTTACATACAGCGTTACTTTACCAAGCATTGCCAACAAAAATTGCCAGTACGACACCTAGGGTAGCTGAATCTTTGGCTGACTACATCTGGAGTTGGAGGACGTCCGCCCCACAAGGGGTCACAGTTCAAGGTTGAAGAAGCCACAGTCCAGAAAACTGTGAGGGCAATTTTTTTCGGAGTGAGAATTGTGAACCTGGTACAACTGCCGTGTTGAGACAGTGTAGTGGATACCTCCCCTACTGTCATGGTCACGTGACTG